TATTATTTATCAAACTTCATATGTTGATCCATACTGATGAGAGTTATTCAACTACATCAACATTTGACCTTGACCTTTCCTTTTAGCTTGACCTCACTTCTTAAATTAGTGTCAAACTTCATATGCTGATACATACTGATGTAAGCGATTCATCTGCATCAACATTTTTGACCTTGACCTTTTATTTGACCTTGACCTCACTTTTATCAAATTGTAATTAAAAAACAAAGAAAAGCTGGAGACCAACACCTTGAGGTTAAAATTGCGGAAGATTCTCACGTGTGGATACCGAAAGGTATTCAATAGGGTCTGTAACTAAAGTTATAAACTTAAAAGTATAAAACAGATCACCAACACTTCGTGAGAATGCAGCAGTAAATTTATTTTGTTGACCGGTTACAACCTGTGACGGTTGTCATCTGAACAATCAAGCATGTAAATTTATCTTTTGAAAAAAAATAAAGTAAAAAATGCGGATGACGTTGCTATATACACAAAAAATGCGGATGACGTTACTATATACAAAATAAAATGCGGAGTGTTTTGTACATACTTGCTTAACTATGGTACTTTATACAAGATATAATTAATTTACATTTCCTTTAAAAATTTTCTGACTTAAGATTTAGTCAGTAAATACAGACCCTGAGACGTGCTACTACCCCCAAAAAGCGTGTGACTTTCGTGCGCTTTCCGTTTCGTGCAAACCGTGTAGCGTTTCGTGTAAACCGTGCAGCGTTTCGTGCAAACCGTGTAGCGTTTCGTGTAAACCGTGCAGCGTTTCGTGTAAGCTCCAAAGCGTTTCGTGCAAACCGTGTAGCGAGCGTGCGAAAAGCGTGTGAGAAACGTGCGACTTTCGTGTAAGAACCGTGTGAGAAACGTGTGATTTTCGTGCAAGAATCGTGTAAGATTCATTCGGAAGTCATTTCATTTTAAAATTGGCTGTCGATGGGTTAGGACGTCAAATTGTATTAGTTTTATTATTGAATTAATTACATGTATTATTGTGATATTTTAGGAGTAAAAACAAAAAAAGGAACAACAAAATGAAATTACACGGTAATGTATATAATATATAATTATTTATTTGTTTTCTTTTCCTTCTATAGAAAATGTGTTCAAATATTAATCAACTATGTACAACATTTTTAAGGGCATTGAATTCTATATACTATCAACGCGATCATGATTTCTCAAAATATTTTTTTTCTCAAATAAAGAAAGAAATACCGGTATTATTATTTTTTTAATTTAAAAAAAAAATATATCAGGACTCCGCTCTTGTCTTTACATTTAAAGTACGTGAAAGAAAGATTTGAAACGATATGTCATTTAATAGCTTTCATAAATAAAATTTGTTGCTCATTATTGTCAAATAAATGGATTTTATAATTTTTATTCACATGCACTGACGACCACATGTTTAGAAACGGGGGGGGGGGGGGGTGTTAAATTAAATTACTAGTACAGTCTTTCATTTTTGTTGTAACTTTCAATCTAATGTTAGTTTAAATAAATGCTTAATTTTCTATTCTATTTTAAATCCTTTGTTAAATATGTGCGCAGATACAACCCCTTAAAATGTATTGGAATCTTCTTTACGCCTTTCAACTGTGATCAAGGTCATTTACAACAGCGATCACGGGCTCCGAGTGCATGGCAACTGAAAACCTGTTTTGTTATATATATATGTTGAGTTCACGGCTTAATGACACCTGAAAATTACGACTGGATTTTATTGTTTTTGACATAAAATGGTTTTATAAATATTTAATGGGTACAACTTATAAATCAGCGGATTTCATCTTTTATTTGTAAATCCGAATTTCTAGCCGTAAACAGCAAAATAAACAGAACTGATTTGGTAGTCTTTTCATGAATATCATGTAAGAAAGCTTAGGAGTAAATCATGAATAATTGCATATTATTTGTTTTATAAATCACGTACATTTTATTTCATCATAAGATATTTCAGTTTTCTTGTAATATATTTGAAGGCCGTGTAAAGATCGATCTACATTCATTTGTATGTACAATGTGTAGTCAAATGTCGCGACTATTAATTAATGTACACATATATACATACGTTTAGTCGGGTTTTGAAACGAAGGATTTTACAGTATGATGGGTATACTGATGTTATTTGATAAGCTTCATGTTAAAAAGAGAGAGAGAGAATAAAACTAGATTAAGACATCACATTTAACCCCCCCCCCCCCTTTTACCGGTTTACCTCCTATGGATAATGCTTACGTAAGATAAAAAAAATTCTTTAAAAATGTATCAATAATCGTTAGTAGACTATATAGGCAAATTTTATTACTAGATCAAAATCAAGAAAAATAACCTGCCTCCGGAAATCAAACACAATATAATCAATATTATTTATTTAAAATCAATGAGTTCATATTCATGCAGTAAGAAATCGAATTTGTGTTTAATTCATTAAATTATACTCATAAAAATATTACATTGAAATGCATGACTAATATATAAAACTTGCATTTTATTAAACAGTCATTCATGATATCGGCATTTCGTTTTTAAACAGTTCGATAAATAAATAAATGAATTAATACGAAATGACAATTATTTATTAATTAATTACAACTGTCAGAGTATTAAATATTTCTATCGGTTTATATAATACTGGTGTACAGATATTTAATTTAAACAGCTGCTAAATGTGGCTAGTATGTGAAAGATTTCCATTAGATTAATGGTAGAACCGTAATAATGCCCGAGATATTCCGAGTAGAAAATCTAAACCGAGGCCAAAACGTGCGAGAATCGTGTACAAAGCGTGTGAGAAACGTGTACAAAGCGTTTCGTGCAGCCTTTCGTGTAAACCGTGCAGCCTTTCGTGCAAAGCGTTTCGTGTAAACCGTGTAGCGTTTCGTGCAAACCGTGTAGCGTTTCGTGTAAACCGTGCAGCGTTTCGTGCAAACCGTGTAGCGTTCGTGCACCGTTCGTGCAGCGAGCGTGTGGGGTAGTAGCACGTCTCAGGGTCTGTAACATAATTGTTTTATGATTAATAAAATTGTCCATAAATTGTGTGGATTGTTATTCTTCTGTTGTATCATCAAGCTGTTTCGGTAGACTGTGACGTCACAATGGAAAAAATACGGAGGATTTGTACATGTATATATAGAGGGCTAAAATTATACAAGTGGACATTAGATTATATTTCCTATAAATGTTTGGATAACATAAAATGTAGTTTGGTTTCATAAATTTCTACTTTTGAATAGTCCTATTTTATGGAGGACAATAATTGTTGGTAAAATTACATTAAAATAATTAAAACATGTATTAATATAAACAAAGATAATTTCTATAGAATGTTCAAGAGTTCATTGTAGTTTTATGATGAAATTCGTTCAGGCGAAACGTGAAGGTATATGTAGATCCTCGCTACAATTCGTCCATTACATAAGGAGGGGGGGGTGTAGTTAATAATTACTGGGATTTTTATCGTCCTTGAATGCTTTTGTTGATTCCTTATCGGCTTCCTTCTTCTTCATAAAGTTTGGGATTGCAGTTAATAGATCGTTTATATGTTCCATTCATTAGTGTTTTCTTTGATTTTAAGCTGGGATTTTAAATCAAGTATCTGTGTATTAATCGTATTAATTCTCGTATTCCAATATTCATAAAGTAAGCGGATGAGGCTGCAGCTAAAATTAAGGTGTGCTTCCTCCCAGTTTAGGAGAAATAAAGCATTACTGTCTGGAATTTGTGGAATAATTTTGGCTCTTAGTGTTTTTGGTATAAGGTCCAGTTGTTGGCATTTATTCAGGTATGCAGCATGGTTTTTAGTTCTTTGGAGTTTGATATGAAGTTTCCGGAGTGTCCTAAAAATGGCAACATTTTCTTCTGATATTTTTGGTTTCTCGGAAGATCCCATTGTATCGGATGTTGCAATAGAGGTTTCTTTCCCTGCTGTTTCTTGTTGAGATTTGTTTGTTGTTTCTGAATATTCTATATCCGTATTGGATTGTGAAGCATTGCGGAATCTTTTTTTGGGGTTACTGATGTCTACCTTAAGAGATTCATTCACTTTCTGGTTAATTGATTCTTGTAACTTTGGAATGGAGTAGGTGGCCATAATGTATAGCGCAGTTCGGAATGGTGGATACCTTATGGTATGCAGGGGTCCCAGTAACAATGTAGAATACAAAACAAAGAAAAGCTGGAGACCAATACCTTGAGGTTAAAATTGCGGAAGATTCTCACGTGTGGATACCGAAAGGTATTCAATAGGGTCTGTAACTAAAGTTATAAACTTAAAAGTATAAAACAGATCACTAACACTTCGTGAGAATGCAGCAGTAAATTTATTTTGTTGACCGTCATCCGCATTTTTTTTGTGTATATAGCAACGTCATCCGCATTTTTTACTTTTGTAGATAAATTTACATGCTTGATTGTTCTGATGACGACCGTCACAGGTCGAAACTGGTCAACAAAATTAATTTACTGCTGCATTCTCACGAAGTGTTGGTGATCTGTTTTATACTTTTAAATTGTGATTAAGTCAGTTTTAAATATTTTTTCAACTTTGTATGCTGATACATACTAATATTTTTTCAACTTTGTATGCTGATACATACTAATGAGAGCTTTTCAACTGCATCAACATTTTTTTACCTTGACCTCCCCTTTCTTAAATTAGTGTTAAACTTCATATGCTGATACATACTGATGTAAGCAATTCAATTGCATCACTATTCAAGATATTCTGAAATTTCATACACAGATTCAAATTTTCATGTTGCATTACTGATACATGTATAACCTTGGTGGGGCGTTCATGTCCTATTGACATATTTCTAGTTTTCATTTGGGTAAATTTGTTGCTGATAGTTAATATTAACCAGATATGGAATTCATCAGTAGATACTTTGTATTATCGATAATTAGCTTGCATGACAATTTACCATTCAAGAATTTATAATTATATATAATTTTAATTATTTTTTTCTTTAAAAAAAACTTAGATCCAATACATAACAGGGATTTACAGGAGAAACAGATGTTGTTAGTGAGAGCTTGTCTGGGGGAGATATTTGTCAGGACTGACACAACGACTAAGCACAGCTACACTCGACCACCCTGCCAGCGCTGCTACAAGGACAGGTGCACTGATGTTACCCATAGTTCCCTATTTTTCGACTCTATTGTTGTGGATGGTGGCTGGAATTTCAGAGAATTTATTTTGTATGATAACAAAGCTTGCTATCCTGAATATCTGATCTCATACAGAATTTAGATCCTTGATCAGTGTATAATTGAACTCAGATATTATATATTTCAATATTATATTCAAAAAACAATAATGCTGGGGCCAACAATAAAACAAGATGTGTTTGATGCCCCAATATAGAAAGAATGGCAAAGGTTATACACTTTCTCAAATGCAAATCAAATATGTTGGTTTTCAAAGTGAAGCCTACTCTGACACAAGAAATAATTGTGAAAAAAATATGAAAGCCCTAGCACCACCTGTTCAAAAGTTATGGCCAAGGATAAAGTATTTTGAAAAGTAGGTCAAACTCCTAGGTCAAATTCAAAGGGTCAAAGTTGTTGGTTTCTAAAGAAAGGTCTGGTTAGAAGGATTACATATGTAAAGTATGAAAGCCTTAACTTAAACCATTCAAAAGTTGTGACCAAGGTTTAAGTTTTTTCAAAGAAGGTCAAATCCTAGGTCAAGGTAAAAGAGTCACGGTATATTAAAATCCCAGAAATTTCTTATCACAAGGATTACATATGTGAAGTATGAAAGCCCAAGCCCTTAACTTTAAAAATTATGGCTAAGGTAAAGTTTTTTAAAAGTAGGTCAATCTACCAAGGTCAACGTCAAAATTGTTGGAAATCAATGAAAGGTCTTGTCACAAAGAATACATATGAGAAGTATGAAAATCCAAGCACCAGCCTTTGAAAAGTTATGGACAAAGTAAAAGTGTGGTATATTTTGTAAAAGTAGTCGAACTCCAAGGTCAAGAGGTCAAATTTGGTGGTACCCAAAGAAAGGTCTTGTCACAAAGAATACATCTGTGAAATATGAAAGCCATAGTCCCACCCACTCAAAAGTTATGGGCAAGGTTAAACTTTTTGCAGGCAGGCGGACATTCTTCGTTTACAGGGGCATTGAAAAATTTGTTTGATGTACTTGGATGACCTGTCAGAATTGTCTTTTTTCAGTACTTTGAATGGGATTTCCATAGACATTTAAAGCTAATTTATTTAAGGTATATAATTTCTCCAAGTTGCTTTTTGATGTCTAGCTTTCCAGTGTATAATGAAAACATTGTGACCTATTGCTATCCGTTTCTGTCTGTCATCCGTCGTGTGTTAAAATTTGACCATTTTCAGCTTCTTCTCTTAAACCTCTGAACCAATTTCAACCAAATTTGGTATACAGCATCTATGGGTGAAGGGGAACAAAAATTATGAATTTTATGGTCCTCAATGCTTCATTTCTTTGAAAATCTTCTTCTATGCTCCTGGTTATTAAATAAACTAAGTAAGTATATAATAATGATGAAGAATACGTCTTCCAAAATTGTGAATTTCATGGCCCCTGGGTCAGGGGTTCTGGTGTTATGGCAGGGCTCTATTGATTATATAGTGAAAATACACTAATTCTTTGAAAATTTGCTTCTCTCTTCTGGGTATTAAATTAACTAAGTACATAGTTTGATGAGCAAGAGTGCCTCAACCAAATTTATGAATTTAATGGCCCCAGGTCAGGGGTTCTGGTGTTAGGGTGGGGATTGATTATATAGTGAAAATGAATCAATTCTTTGAAAATCTTCTTCTCTGCTTCTGGGTATTAAATATTAAACTAACTTGGTATATAATTATAATAAGCAAGAGTGCCTCAACCCAATTTGTGAATTTCATGGCCCCTGTGTCAAGGATTTTGCCATTTGGTGTCAGAGGGGGAGAGGGCTTTTGATTATATAGTGAAAATACATGAATTCTTTGAAAATCTTTTTCCTTTGCTCCTGGGTACTGAGTATTATGCCAAAGATCCAAGTATGCATATTTATGATGAAGAAAGGTGCATCTAGCAAAATGATTAATTTCATGCCCCCTGGGTCAGGGGTATGGGGGGGGGGGGGGTACATAGTCTGAAAATAATTTGATGCTTTGAAATCTGCTCTTTGGTATTAATCAACCATTGATGATGAAATGAAAATTAATTTCCAGAATTTTGAAATATGTGGCCCAAGGGTCAGTGGTTCCTTTGGGGTGGGGTACACAACTGGTTATAAAGTGGATATACATTTTCTCTTTAGTACTCCAATCTACCTCTGGGTATTAAGTAAATAAAGTAAGCATGCTGTTTATAATTATGATCAGGCACAGATCCAGAATTTTTTTTCCAGGGGGAGTGGGGTCCACCCCAGTCCAAAAAAAAAATCCAATCCAGAAATTTCTTGACAAGCAAAAGAAAAAAAAGTTAACTCGCCCAAACTTCAAAGACCTACTTCAGGGGGAGGGGGGATGTAGTCAATGACTTCTAATGCTTCAAACCTTTGATTTTTCATACCAATTTAACACAAATTTGTGTTAACCAAGGGGAGGGGGGGGTCTGCATTTTCCTAGGGGGGCCCAAGGTAGCTTTTTTCTTGCTTTAGTATATTAATTTAATAACTTGCAAATTCCAGGGGGGGGGGAATCCTGACACCCCGCCCCCTCAGACCCTCCTCTAGATCCGCGCATGATGATAAGCAATGGTGTCTCTTTCAAAATTGTGAATTTCATGGCTTATGGTTTAAAACATGAACCATATTCAAATTTTGGAAAGTTGTTACATGATACTCAGGTGACCTATAAGGCCTTTGGGCCTCTTGTTTATAACAGTTAGTTATCAGTGTGTTCAATAGTGTAAGGCAAAAAAAAATCATTCCTACCAACCCACTCACCTTGAAAAATGTGGGTTGGAGTACACTGTACATAAAACAAATTTTCAACGATGGCCTGGTAAAATTTTGTTGGGAGGGCATATTGCTTTTCAGTTGAGAGATTTCAGTTAATCCTCAACATTTCTGTAATTATGTGGAATCATTTAAGTTTTTAGGTGGCTCAATATTCATGATATTTTGGGTACCCTAGCTACATCCACAAATTTATATCTGCGAATAAGTATAATTTTGTCATACTTTTATTACATGTAATGTTTTAGTAATATTAGTTACTGTGCATATTCGTATACTGGTAATTACTCAAGACAGTGTGTTATACAAGTAATATATGCAGTTATTTACAGTGTTTTAGGACAGCATGCATTTTGTCAGATCAAGGAACCAATCTGTATGCCTAGACCATTTAAGGCTGCCATTGAAAGCAAAAATTTTTTTGGTTAGAGGATTTGGCAAATGCATCACCTGGTTGAGATCATAGTCAATAAATGT